TGGTGCCAGATTCCAGAGTACACCCGGGAAGTGTGTGCTGAGCAATACCTCTAGCATGATGAGATGCAGTCACTATTCGATTGCTGAATATAATTTGGAGGCGGTAGAGTCCCGTTATAGCACCGTTAATTTTCTTTAGACGTCCTTTTAGGCAAGCCAGGAACCATTTCTTCCGCCAGAATGTTTTCCTTTTTTCGTTTAGGAGGTAAGGATTTTCAGCAGGAACATAACGGCTACCTTAATCTTTTTCGATAAGCTTAACTTCCCCAAGGACGAAGGGTTTGAATATGAAGGCTATACTTCATCGGTAGGTCGAGTTTGCTGAGAGAAGTGTTACAGAGCAAAGGCTACTATACAATCATTTGGAACTCACTGTTACTAATACAGAATTCTTGATTCAGTAGGAAAAATTTTATTTCATAGTACATTCCATAAGAAACCCTCTTTTTAATTTGATTAGGGTATCTTTTTTAAACGTCAATGAAAAATGAAAGCTACGCTGAATTGGCATCGAACTTGGAAATTATAGAATGGTATCACGCAGCAAAGAGTCCCAAATTCAGAAAAAGAAAAGATTACTTCGAAAAGTCACTTAAGGTGTTTGAGAAATACCGAAAGTCCCGAAAGATCCCGAAAAATATATTTCGAAGAATCCCGAAAAGTATCAATAAAGCCTGAACGGTTCCAAAAATATAAAAAGGAAATCGCAAAATTCTCGAAAACCTCGCGGTAAATCACAAAAAAAATAACAAACAAAAATAGTTCCCGAAATTCTCTTAGGCTGCTGGAAAAAATTCCGCAAAATGCCGAAAAGTAAAACACGAACCACTCCGAAAAATACCGATATAAACATAAACGTTCCCTAACTCTTAGGATTTTATTAGAACTTCCGAAAAAATCTAGAAGAAACCCGAAAAATTCCAAGTCCCGAAAATATCACGCCGTGTCCCGAAAAAATAAAAAGACAAATTATTCTGAAAACCACGGAAGGTTCTGAAAAAATTCCGAAGATTCCCGAAAGAATATCGAAAGATCCCCAGAAATAAATCACGAAGAACACCGAAAGCTTTAATAAAATCCTAAACGGTTCCAAAAAAAAGCAAAAAAATTTTAAGTCCCTGATAAAGTTCAGAAAACCCCTAAAAGCTACAAAAACAAATCTTGAAAACCTTTAAACCTTTACAAAAGTGGCGGAAAAAAAATCCAAGTCCCGAAAAATGCACGACGGACACTGAAAAATAAAAAAAGGAAAGAATTCTTAAAACCTTTAATGGTACTGAAAGAACGCCCGAAATGTGCCAAAGAAATCCGCAACGGTTCCAAAAAGAAAGCAAAAAAATCTTTGAAAACCCCGAAAAAAATCTAAAACCCTCTAAAAGGTGTTGAAAAAAAATTTTAATCCCCTGAATACGTCCAGAAGGTCCCTAAATGTCCCAAAAACAAATCAGACAAATCCTGAAAACCCTCAGAGGCCCGAAAAAAACCCGCAAGTCCCGAAAAATTCACGACAGACCCCGAAAAATAAAAAGGCGAAGAATTCTGAATAGCCAAAAAAAAACACCCGAAAAGTGCTAAACAAAATTTTAAAGGGCTCTGAAAAGAAACAAAAAAAATCTTGAAGACCCCGGAACAACTCCGAAAGCCTCTAAAAGTCCCGGTAAATCACGGTAAATGCCGATAAATAAAAATCTCTCGAAAAAATATCTCGAAAAAGCAAAACAAGAACAATCCCGAAAAGTACAGATCTATTCCTTAACGGTCCCTAAAGCCCTGAGAAACTCTCGAAAAGTCCCGAAACAACCCGAAAAATTTAAAAAAAAAAAAAATCCATGTCGCGAAAAAATCACGGCAGATCCTGAAACATTAAGAAGCAATGAATTGTGAAAATTTCGAGCCTGAAACAATCCCGAAAAGTTCCGAAAGATCTCAAAAAATAAAATACAAAGAGTCTCAAAAAGTAGCAAAAAAAATCCTAAATCCTCCCGAAAGTCCCGTAAAAACTTTAAAAGTTTCAAAATTTTGAAAACTCTGGAGAAACCTAAGACTTTTTTTCCTTAGAAAACCAAAAGTAGAAGTAATAGATGTTTCTTGTCCAAAATAATGAAAATAAAATTTTTCGAAAACTAGAGAAAGTACAAACACATCTATGCCCGGCAGTTAAAGTAGCTTAAGTCGAGCTAGGCCATTTTCTCTTTAAAGCAATGCTTCGTGGGATTCCCAAACAATATTTCAATGATAAACTAGCCACAGGTGTAGTTTAGGTTGCCCTTTTAAAAGAAGCTTAATAAAAATGTAAAATGTTTCAACGGAATTTTTTCACTGAACTTTTGTTTTCAAAATTTAAAAATAACATTTAAGGTAATTTAGTAAATTTTTTGTATTAATGAAATTCTCAATCTTTCCTAGATCCCCGGCTTAGTGGAGGCACTATCCATACCAAATGGCAAAGTTTGTTCAAATTACTCACCCAAATATGTTGATCGCACCTATGCGTGTCTGCAAAACATACAGGAAGGTAATGCCATTTTCACGTTCCCGGCATCACCCGTCAAATGTCCGGGTGCGCCACAGAAGATTGTCTACATCGCTGAGCACTATTTCCGTAAGGTAAATGCACTGAAAAATTTAAAAAGAATACAGATTAGGTTAAATAATTTTTTCCTCCAGCCAGCCCCAGATATGAAGTATATCAAAAATAAAGAGACCAGTATTTTTTTTATTTTGAAATCGATTAATATTTACCCATGCCGCCGATGCTTTGAAATTGTCCATGTATTTTACATGGGGAAAATAAATTTTTTCGTAAAATTGCTATAAAATTGTGTAAAATAAATATTTTTTGATCAAATAAGACGTATCCAAGAAATAACACTACGATGTTTATTTAACTTAAAAATTTTACCAAGTGTGTTTTAATAACCGATAATTCTAACTGTTGTATACAAAAATTTGTTATTTATGTTTTCATAACAACATCACGCACGAACAGCTCAATGGATGTACTTAATTCTTTTTTGCATTCTACTCGTTGTTTTCTGTACGTTTGTGGTAAAAATTTTTTAAAAATAGGGTTGCCAGGTATTTGAAAATTTTAAATTTTTTAAAGGTCAATAAAATATTTAAACTTCTTTATCAAAACTAAAAGCGTTTGAAGATATTTAAAATTTTTTTTTAACGAGGCTGCCACCTTTCGACGATATTTTAGCAATTTTATGAAAAAAAAAATAAATATTAACCGATTTCAAAATAAAAAACACGTTCTCCTTATTTTTGATGTTCTTGAGTTCTGGGGGCGTCAGCAGGAAAAATCGAAAAAGTGGATTTTCTTATGTATTTTTAGCACACCCTAATATACATACCTACATATATTTTATCTACAGCTTGGCAAGCGCAACAAGATTACGGTTACGTACAACACATCGTTGCCCGTAATTTTCGGCGTGAAACACTATGCCGACGCGCTGTGGAAAGTCGTCGAGAAACGAGACATCAAAGTGAATTTGCTTCGCAACTTGATTGAAGTGCGGCCTAATGAAGATGTGGCTGTATTTCAAAATCTCGACAAACCAGAGGAGATATTCGAGGAAAAGGTATCAGAGTATGATATGCATAGAAACAGTTTTTCAGCGCAGCTCAACTAAACTGTGATTACACATACTTACGCTAGTTATACACGAGGCAGCCGTTGAAACGACCAAGTCGGTTTGTTTCGACTTTTGCTGCGAGTATGTATATGTATGTTGTTCGTGTTGCGGCAAACGTGGTCTGAAATATCACGGCATATTGACATGATATGTTTTTTGGCGCAACGGTTGTCTCATGTGCACTCAGCCTTAGAGTTGGCGCAAGAACTCAATGCATTTGGTCGAGCGCTGAAAAACTGTTTCACAAAAGTATTTAAAAGTTTTTACGATTGAAAATACTATCATCCTAATCCCACAAGTTCGCCATGTTACATGTCACGCCACCGATGAGCACACCAACTGTGTTGGCACAGTGCAAGGAATTGGTGAATGCGGCAGGCTTCGTGGATGTGGACAAATCAACGCTACAACATTTGCGCTACAAGAATGTCTTTGCTATCGGCGATTGCTCGGCGTCACCCAACTCAAAGACTGCCGCATCAGCAGCAGCACAATCGCCTGTTGTATATCGCAATATGTTGGCTCAGCTGAAGGGAAAGGAACTGAAGAGCGCCTACGATGGTTACGCTTCCTGTCCACTAGTCACTGGCTATCACAGCTGTATTTTGGCTGAATTCGATTATGATTTGAAACCATTGGAAACATTCCCATTTGCACAGAATAAGGAACGCTATTCAATGTTCTTTTTGAAAAAGGCCTTAATGCCTACACTTTACTGGAAAGTCATGTTGAATGGCTATTGGAATGGGCCAGCGCTAATGCGTAAAGTTTTATCTGTACTGAAGTTCGAGAAGAAGGTGAATGCATAGAGGAAGTTTGCGAAAAAAAGTATGGCCTTTGAATTTGTTATTTGTGAGGAGAGGATTACAATAAAAAACTCTTTTTTTTGAAATTGCATAAAATATATAAATTTAGCTATGCAAAAGTGTTTTTACAGTAATTTATGCTGCTTAAGAAGTACAAAAATACAGCACTGACAAAAAGAAACGAGGACAAGAGCGCAAGATGACATTCGAGTTGCAACTTTTTTCAAAATTTGATCAAAAAGAAGTGATCATGCAAATATTTTGTGATACATACATAAAACATTTTTACTGTAAAAAAGAAAAAGACATAAAATAAAGCTATAAATAATTATTCCTGCATTGAAAAATTAATAAAAAGACCTCTGCCAAAATAAAATCTCCTTAGAAGCTTTTTATTGGAAATGCATTTTTTTAATATTTCACGACTTTTCTCAGACGGTATCGTTTTAAAAAGAACCCCCAAAGCCATGGTTCAACAAAGACTTCACTGAAAATATGGAATAGGTAGGTAGGTAGGTAGATGTGGCTGTCACTGCTACGCAGAGACACACATAGGCCCGAGTTGAAGGCTACACACGGACAACAAATTCAAACGAGCGGTTGAGATTTCAACGTGTGTGGCGAGGTTTACAAACCGATCGCAGGTTCACAAAAATGTTCATGTCTTTCATATAATTTTAAATAATAATGAAAGATCTGGCATCTTCCTATAATTTTTTTTCTTTTTCGTCTCAATAAAACATTAAAAGTGCATATTTCAAACATCGTTTTAAGGAAGATTTTGTGAATTTGCGGGGGTTGCGGTTTTATCGGGAGTATCGGGAAAGGATTTTGGTCCCATCCCGCCCGCCATATTTTTACAGATCTTCCCGATACCGCTCATCACGGCCAATTTTATATCAGCACCGTGGGTCCCGCGGATCCCGATATCCCGCGCCCACATAGATGTATTCTCTTAAGATCAGCTTGCAAGTGGCGAAGGGCATACCTATGCGTGGTTTGTCCGGAAGAATCTGCTTGGTCGTACCCCATCGCAAGTTCGTCCGCCATATAGTGAACCTCTAAGTCCCTATGACCGGGAACCCAAATGAGGTTTAGACTGTTCTACTTAGCCACCTCTTGTAGAGATCGGCGGCAGTCCAGCATTTTTGATTTAATTGTGATGAAGCTTACAGCTTTATTTGCTGCCTGACTGTCTCTAAAAATGAACGCCTATTCATCTTTTAAATCAATACGAAGCTACATAGTTTATAGCCTTCATTATAGCTGAGACCCATTATGGCTGAAACCTCGGCCGGGAAGACATTACAGTAGGCCGGCAGTCGAAATTAGCGGTTCAGGGCAGGGCTGCGAGAGAAGAGCCCCCTTCCACTCCACCGCTCATTTTCGAAACAGCTGTGAAAATTACTATACCACGGGGTGGAGTATAATAGTTTTCTACTCATTCCTCCCTGATTGGGATTTTAATAACGAAGTTTCTATCCTTTGACGTTGTCCGGTTTGCTCCGCTAATGCAGATTATACTAATACTCTGTACTATGCTGAGTAGATTAAGATTTAAGGCATATCAAGCCCGGCCACCATATTAAAATTCCACAAAGTATGAATCGGTCTAACCACCGCCGGGTAAGTCCACCGGCATATACTAAGGCTCAACCACCATTTCTTACCAATGGCCCTTTTGCACGAATATAAGGCTGCAGATGCCTTCTCATAGCGCTGGACTATGTTTTCCTTCCAGCTCAGTTTTCTGTCGAGAATGACCCCTAAAGAGAATAAGTTCCACTTTCTCTGAATTTACCCAGAGGCCACAACGCGTGAATTATCTTGATACATTGCGAAGTGCCCTCTGCATCAATTCGCACAGAGTTGGCTACGTCATCCGCGTAAGCAGCAACCTTGGAGAGTTCACGCTTATGTTCCAAAGGAGTGGCGAGAGCACGCCACCCTGCGGTGTGCCCCTTGTAACATATATCGAGGCCGAGTTCTAACCGACGTTTGCCATGATCATCCTCCGCAGGAGCATCTGTCTTATAAACTCCACCAGAGAATTGTCCACCTCCTTTATTATAGCCTCTGAATTTATGTTTTTAAAAGCTCCCTCAATGTCTATAATGCTACAAGACAATTTTCCTGCTAACTGAAGGACTTTTCAATAAAACTGATCAGGCAATGCAGCGCGGTCTCCTTAGACTTGCCCTTCAGATGGGCATGTTGGTTGTAAAACAGGAGTCGATTATCAATAGTGAAAGATAGGTAGTTAGTAACTATCCTTTCCAAGGTTTTCAACAAAAAAGAAAGGCTAACAGAATTGAGATCCTTTGGATTTATTTATGTGGCCTTACCGGCTTAAGGAATAAAGACCATGGAGACAGATCTTTACGCCGTCGGTTTGTAATTTAGCTTCAAACAGGCCATTAGCATGTTCAGTAGCCAACTTACAGAGGTTTCAAGCGTCGCAGCCAGTTGCGCGGGTATAATCCCATCCGGATCCGCCGCTTTACTGGGCTTGAAGCACGTTTACTAAAAACTGCTTATATCTTTGCCACTCAGATTCGGGACTGAGCCTTCTTGCCTGATTGAACTGTGTCCTGCAGGCTTTCTGCAGTCAGTCCAACTCCCGAGACCACCACTGGGGGTTTCGCTTGCCCCTGGACCTAGGGTCAGGACAAGCCTGAGCCAAAGCCTCTGAGCATTTCTGACTAATATGGAATAACTTCGGTTATAAGGATATGCCTGCTCTTGGCACTCATAGAGGGCATTTACAATGGGCAGGAAGTAAGTCATTCGTAAACGCCTTCCTATCCTCTACACAGCAGCGCTAAATCTCTTGGATTGACTTTTAGCCTTTGACATACCGCAGTAGGTTGCAACCTGAGAGTCCTTCCACCTTCTCAGAAACCATCAAAGCCCTCATGACCTGGACCATACGAAAAGGTAACTTTTTACAGAGTTATAGTTTGTTTATACACTTTTGTAGATGTCTACCAGCTTTTATATTGCTTTACGTAAGTCTACTACGGCTCACAATACTGCCTAGATGTACCACATTGATGTTTGTGCGAAGATGTTCCCGGGTAGAGATTTCACTTGCATCAACTTCTGCCCGGATTAGGTGCAAACAAATACAACGGGCTCAATGCTTCCGTCATCAAGTTTGGATACCCCAGTGTATGATGACTTGGTATTTTTTGCTTATTATTGTGATAACCTCTTTACAAGCGTCCCTTTCTGGAATTATAACCGTTTAGGACATAATAAATGATAACTTCTGTAACATTGCGTCTATGAATTTTCAAACCGGGTCAGTTATAAATGGTTTTAAGATAATCAGAAGGCGAGAGAAGAGATAATCAGAAGAGAAAGTCTTCACTTTTTATGGTGCTTAGGTCCGAAATAAATTTTTCGATGATAATGGTACGAGATAGGGCGAAGAGTCTTAGATAAGTGGCTTTGAGTGATCATAATGGTCAAACCACAACTCTGCATAAGTAGGAATCACTATTACCTACTATAAACCAGACCTAGTTGAGAATCCAAACTCTAAAAAAACCCCAATTTTCTTTTTGAGTTTTTTTTTGCTTTGAAGTCCCCGTGTCACGTCTTCTCCTAATCCTATTGAGCCTGAATTACGCAGAACTCTAAAGAGTGGAACAAAAACAAAAGTATAGCGAATTTAAATTTTTTTTATGTTTTTAAAAAGTGCCTAAAAAGAGTCACCCTAGCATTTCCACACCCACCTCGTTATTATGTATTCATTAATGCATTTAAGTGTAGCACTAACTTGTATGTGCTTGTAGAACATTTTTTTATTGAAGCTGCAGCATTCCAAGGATCATCGCTGCGGTACATTGTACTGTGTGCTGTTTTAAAATTCGATTAGCCACATGGTGTGATCGCCTTTTTTTAAATTCACGTTGCATAAATATGTATTTACCTACTAATGTGCATGTGTATTAATCTGTAGATATTTAGTATTTTTTTCGAAGGCTCGTCTATACAATGTACATCCTTCTATGCATACATATATAGATATGTTTGTATGTATTTGTGTAAAAATTTTAACAAGTGCTCCCAAATATTTATATGTAAATACAATACAAGCTACACCGAAGCATAAGGGCAACACAGTTTCCTTAAACGAAATAGTGATTTATTAAAAAATTTTCTTATCATAAATAAAACCAGCAATTTCATGCCATTAAACGACTTCAAAGTTGAAAACTATTTGTGTTAGTTCTTATTTGTTTCAATACTAGATATATTTAATTAAAACTTGATCACATTTTCTGATTTCGGAATGTGGTGGCACTTAAAATAATCTTGGGAGTATGGAGAATTTATTTTTAGCGAAAAACATTGCATATTTGTTTTTTTATTTAATATTTCCGCTCGAAATGCTAATCAACATAATTTTTCATATAAATATACAAAGTTTCAGAGGAACCGGAGGACGTTTATAGAAAAGTTTTTTTTTTCTAACAACAATTTTTCACCACAGGCAATATAGCAAATCTCCGTCAGCAGCCTTGAGGAAGAAGCTTGGCCAAACACTTAGCAAAAAAGTGAGCGCCAAGTTTTTTTTTGTCTTACAGAAAAAGTAAAAAAAAATATAACAAATCAACTCCTAAAACGGTACACCCTAGTGTACGTACATGGATATGTACATGCATGCATAAGTATCTACATAAATTTTAAAAACCTAAATGTATGTCAAATTTTCCACACAGTTTTGATTTATCTGTGAATGTATTTGCAATTATAATTTATCCAACGGCACTTGCAACTCGCAAAATATGTTATACTATGTACATACATACGTAGGTGTACATAGTATATATTCATAGGTTCGAGCTCCCACTTGATAAGCATCAAAAGGAACGCGTTTCGAATATAAAGTGCAGAAATTTGTATTATACATAGATACTTACTATATACATACATATGTACATATATCGAGCCCTAACCGCCAAAATAACGTAAGCGACATTTTTTTCAAAATTTTGTTTTTGATGCAGAAATATTTCTAGAGTATCTAGATGCTCGAAAATTACTTGTCTTTGTTTAAAAAAAGTTTATTGCCATGTAAACCCAAAAAAAACTCTAACTTTGTAGAATATTTATGAAAGAATGTTCATTAAAATTTAAAACTTTTCAGAATTTTTTTGAGTAAGCAGTCTTGTAGCCCATTAATTTTTAGTATAATAAAGTGCAAGTTTTAAATAGCTAGTACTTACTAGTGATTTTTGGCATTTTTTTTTCAGGCATTTTTTCCCAATACAAAGATTGTTCAAACATTTTTGTATGAAGTAAATGAGTTACATCAGCTCA